TGCAGGTTCTGGAGGCTCAGATGAAAGCAGATCTGGCTGATAAAGAGTGTCTGGAGCAGAAACGAGCTCAACATGAGGAAGAGGCCAATGTTGATGTCATTACCATCATGCCAAACATTTTGAGTTTTTCCAAGCATAATTTCTGTTTTGTGACCATGTGGATAAGATGTGACAGGAGCACATCTGTACAACAGCAGCAGAGGAACGGTTTGAACATCAGAAACATCATGTTATTAAGAGTTTCACATTAGGTCTCAGTAGCAAATCAGGTAGTAATTAAAGAACAATCCATTTCTTCTCATTTTTATCAAATCAAAGTTATTGGACTGCTAGTGAGCTTGTTGTGTTAGCAAAAATCCATCACTCCACAGCAGCTGAATATACCTGTTGATCTCTTACCTGTTGATTATATGCATGTAAGACGCCTGTGTGTGTGTGCTGCAGGTTCTGGAGGCTCAGATGAAAGCAGATCTGGCTGATAAAGAGTGTCTGGAGCAGAAACGAGCTCAACATGAGGAAGAGGCGCGGGAGAAATGCAGACTCATCAGTGAGCAGAAAGCTGTGAGTGTCTCATCTTCATCTCAAACCAAACTCAGACTCCTGACAGCCTGAAGCACGTGTGTGTGTGTGTGTGTGTGTGTGAGAGAGAGAGAGAGAGAGAGAGAGAGAGAATCTCAGGGTTTAGTTGTGTTTGCTAGAGACACACTGATTAGTTCACCCAGCAGAATCTGAATTTAAGGATTTTGAGCTACTAGAATCCAAATTTTTTTTTTTGAGTATATGTTTATGGGTATAAAATGTAAGCTCTCAGGATATATAGAGTCTGTCCAGGTTATATTTTATCTCAAAAACAAAAGAAAGCGTAAGAATTTATATTTTTTGCATAAAACATGAAAATAAAGCCTATTTTATGACCATATTTTAAGATATGACATTATTTTCCAGACATTTAACTCTTTATTACTGTAATTTGAACCAAACCAAATCTCATTATTTTTTTTAATACTGAAAAATGTGTTATTAATTTCAAGTGATTGTTTGATATGTTGATCAAACCTTTTTTTTCTCTAATCTAGTGTATATTGTTATTACCTTTAATACATCACATTATTTAGATTAGGTATCCGCAGGGATGTTTAAAGGAGACATATTTTCCCCCTTTTTACAATATGTAATATAAGTCTCAGGTGTCCCCAGAATGTGTCTGTGAAGTTTCAGCTCAAAATACTCCACAGATCATTTATTATATCATTTTGAAAATGCCTATTTTGAGTGGAAGCAGAAACACGCTGTTTTTTGGGCCTGTCTCTTTAAATGCAAATGAGCTGCTGCTCCCCGCCCCCTTTTCCAGAATAGAGCTGCGCCTTCACCGCTTGAACCTGCTAAAAACATCTGTTTTGGTTCTGATTATCATGTTTATCGTGCTGAGATCATGCGTTTTAAACCATATGAGTTTAACAATTTTTACAGTAATTTAATCATATAAATGCAGCCTTGGTGAGCAGAAGAGACTCTTTCAAAATCATTAAAAAAAAACTTAGACCTTTGAATGATGGTGTATAGATAATAATATCTATAATCAAAATGTTTTGTTTCTTTAATGACCTTTTCCCACTTTTCTAATGACCTACATTCAAAATGCTTTGCACTTTTTACTAGAAAAACACATTTTCAATGCATGTGGTGTTTATGTGTGACAAATATTCTATAACAAAGAATCAGTGTCCCAATGTTGATGTCATTACCATCATGCCAAACATTTTGAGTTTTTCCAAGCATAATTTCTGTTTTGTGACCATGTGGATAAGATGTGACAGGAGCACATCTGTACAACAGCAGCAGAGGAACGGTTTGAACATCAGAAACATCATGTTATTAAGAGTTTCACATTAGGTCTCAGTAGCAAATCAGGTAGTAATTAAAGAACAATCCATTTCTTCTCATTTTTATCAAATCAAAGTTATTGGACTGCTAGTGAGCTTGTTGTGTTAGCAAAAATCCATCACTCCACAGCAGCTGAATATACCTGTTGATCTCTTACCTGTTGATTATATGCATGTAAGACGCCTGTGTGTGTGTGCTGCAGGTTCTGGAGGCTCAGATGAAAGCAGATCTGGCTGATAAAGAGTGTCTGGAGCAGAAACGAGCTCAACATGAGGAAGAGGCGCGGGAGAAATGCAGACTCATCAGTGAGCAGAAAGCTGTGAGTGTCTCATCTTCATCTCAAACCAAACTCAGACTCCTGACAGCCTGAAGCACGTGTGTGTGTGTGTGTGTGTGTGTGAGAGAGAGAGAGAGAGAATCTCAGGGTTTAGTTGTGTTTGCTAGAGACACACTGATTAGTTCACCCAGTAGAATCTGAATTTAAGGATTTTGAGCTACTAGAATCCAAATTTTTTTTTTTTAGTATATGTTTATGGGTATAAAATGTAAGCTCTCAGGATATATAGAGTCTGTCCAGGTTATATTTTATCTCAAAAACAAAAGAAAGCGTAAGAATTTATATTTTTTGCATAAAACATGAAAATAAAGCCTATTTTATGACCATATTTTAAGATATGACATTATTTTCCAGACATTTAACTCTTTATTACTGTAATTTGAACCAAACCAAATCTCATTATTTTTTTTAATACTGAAAAATGTGTTATTAATTTCAAGTGATTGTTTGATATGTTGATCAAACCTTTTTTTTCTCTAATCTAGTGTATATTGTTATTACCTTTAATACATCACATTATTTAGATTAGGTATCCGCAGGGATGTTTAAAGGAGACATATTTTCCCCCTTTTTACAATATGTAATATAAGTCTCAGGTGTCCCCAGAATGTGTCTGTGAAGTTTCAGCTCAAAATACTCCACAGATCATTTATTATATCATTTTGAAAATGCCTATTTTGAGTGGAAGCAGAAACACGCTGTTTTTTGGGCCTGTCTCTTTAAATGCAAATGAGCTGCTGCTCCCCGCCCCCTTTTCCAGAATAGAGCTGCGCCTTCACCGCTTGAACCTGCTAAAAACATCTGTTTTGGTTCTGATTATCATGTTTTCATGTTTATGTTAGATCTGTGTGGCAGCATCAATATACAGTAAATACATCAATAAATCCTCTGCTCTGTCGTCTCGTCTGAGGCTGGGACTCTAAACAGTGTTGTGTGCTCGTCTGTGCAGCCAAACACAGAACAGTTAGCATGTTCTGCTCAAACTTTCATCATGGCATTAGAGCTGCTACACCGCTGTCGCTTGTGAAAACACAATAACGTGGGTGGAAACGTACAGATTAAGGGGCGGTGATATTATAATGAGATCCCTTTGCCTCGTCACCAAGCGAGTGAAATCAGACACGCTGGTTTTCTCAGACGCTTGCAGAAAAAGACTTCCCAAAACAAAGTTACTGGGTTCATCTTTTTCACGTTTCCTTGGTTGGTAGATGCACCGGAGACCTGATTATAGCACTTACAACCTGGAAAAGTCAGATTTTCATGATATGTCACCTTTAATATAATTTTCAATTTTCAACATTTACATACTCAAGTAACACTAGCGTAGCTCGAGCTAGCAAATAAAGAGTCTGCATTATGAAGAGTTTATCACTGGCATCCTTAAAGTAATTTTGATTTCATTTGCGTTTTTATTCAAACTCAGCTTGGCTCTTATGATGTCCTGTTATTAAAAGTCAAGTGTGTAATTTGCAGCAAATATTGTTTCCCAAACTCTCCGACCGCCTCTTCTGCCCACGCTGATGGTCGACTAACATTTATGAGTAAATCTGCGTCCTGATGCCGGATTTTGTGCGTTTCTCTTTACAGACCATCAACGCCATGGACAATAAGATGAAGAGTTTGGAGCAGCGGATCGCTGAACTCTCTGAAGCCAATAAACTGGCGGCCAACAGCAGCATTTACACACAGAAAAACATGTAAGAGTCTGAAACACGATGTTAGAAACCAGAAACTGGTCCAGTTCAGACCACCTGGTCCTGTTTGCTGGAGGAACATTCGCTCCACTAGAAAAACTTTCTCTCTGGTGAAGCTAGTTAAACTGCCTGATGGGGGATTAGTAGAAAAACATGTGACTGATTATTTGAACGAGTTTAGATTAATTTGATCAACTTTAATCAACTCAGTGGCATTTAAAGGGATAGCTCACCCAAAAATGAAAATTCGGTCATTAATTACTCTCCCTCATGTCGTTCCAAACCCGCAAGACCTTCGTTTTTGATGAAATCCAAGAGCTTTCTGATCCTGCGTAGACTGCAACAGAAAACAAAAATAACTCATTTATTCAACAATTTCTTCTCTTCCCTGTCAGTTAGTGTTAATTTTGTCAGCCATTTTTAATTTAGTCTTAGTTTTAGTCTTGGTGTCAAATGTACTTTTTGGTTATAAAAGATCGGAAATGTTTAGTTTTAGATAATAGGCAGTTATGCTATATTTGCAGTTAGATAACGTTAGAGAAACACATTAATAGCGATCATAACCAGATGCTAGTTGTCATATTTTTACGTTTTAAGTCTTTCTGCAATCTTTCTCTCTCTGTAGGAAGTTGAGTGAGTTTCAGTGAAGACTGCTCATTAAAGGAATACTAGAAAGAGTTTCGCTGAATGCAGTTGGTTGCCTTTCTGTATTTGCTGGCCTTTTTTAACATTAACTTATATTGTCTTCTTACATAAATGTCATCAAATAATACTGCGATATGAGTAATTAATATTTTTAAATTCAACATTTAAAAAAAGCTAAACTTATGGACATTGAGTGCTTGATAATGTCTAAATACAAAATGCAAAACAAAATAAATAAATAAGCTATTATGACTCTACAGCAACTAGAGTAGAGCTAAATATATGTAGGCTATATTTATTAAACCGCCATACAGGCATCTAGTGGTTAAACCATGGCATTACATAGCAATATTATTTTTCTGGCCACCAAATGTCTCTAATTTGCCTCTTTGCACTGGAATTTAAAAACATTTTCTCTATCCATTTATAATATCATATTTAGTCAACCTTGTCCTGTTTTTGTTTAGTCAAGTTTTAGTCATCTGAGCGTTTTAGTCTAGTTTTAGTCAATGAAAACTGTTCGTCACATTTCCGTCATGCCGTAAAATAGTTAAACTGATAAAAAAATATGTATTTTTTGCTCAAAATTATAATCGAATAGATTGTTTGTTTTTACGCGTGCAATTTAAGACTGGTTTTGTGGTCAACAAATATCAAAGCTTATTGCGAATATTACATGGTTACAGTTGCGCTACAAATCATTTTTAGTGAAGATTTGTTCATGCATCAACAAATAAACAGACTAAAAGATCTCACTTCAATAAAATCAATAAAAAATTGGCAAAATATTGGTGCATCACTAGCGTCGAATGTGAGGATTACTGGTTAAGTATAAATGTTAGAAGATGGGATCCTAGAAGACTTACAGACCTGTTGAAGAAGTAGATACTGATTGTGAGGAATGATGTGTGAAGATCGAATGCGTGTTGTGATGTGAGAGACACGAAACTATCGTAGTGATGTTGTTAAACGCACATGATCGAGCAGAGCTGTCTGTGTGTGTGTTTCAGATGGGTCTGGAGCACGAGGAGCAGAAGCTGGAGATCAAGCGTCAGGTGACGGAGCTCACGCTCTCACTGCAGGAGAGAGAGTCTCAGATCAGCAGCCTGCAGGCGGCGCGACACGCGCTCGAGAGTCAGCTACAGCAGGCCAAGACCGAGCTGGAGGAGACGACAGCCGAAGCCGAGGAGGAGATCACTGCGCTGAGAGTGAGACGCATGCAGAGCACACACTGCACACTACAGCCAGTCACAAACACTTTGAGCTGAAATATGGCCTTCAAAGTTATTATTTCAATCATTTAACAACATATGTGCATGGATCTCTGATGTTGGTTAATGGTCACATCAGGGGTATTATTTTAAAATATACACACACTACCGGTAAAAAGTTTGGGGTCAGTACATTTTTATTCTTTCTTTTTTTGAAAGAAATTCAAACTTTTATTCAGCAAGGATGTGTTAAATTGTTAAGAAGTGATAGCAAAGATTTGTTAGAAAAGATTTATATTTTGATTAAACGCTGTTCTTTTTAACTTTTGATTCATCACAGAATCCTGAAAATAGTAAAATATTTGGCAGCACAACTGTTGATAATTCTAATAATAAATCAGCATATTAGAATGATTTCTGAAGATTATGTGACACTTTATACTGGAGTAATGATGATGGAAATTCAGCTTTGCATCACAGAAATAAATTATATTTTAAAGGATATTAAAATAGAAACCATTCTTTTATATTGTAATAACATTTTGCAAGATTACTGTTTTTTTCTGTATTTTTGGTCAAATAAATGCATCCTTGATGAGCAGAAGAGACTTCTTTAAAAAAAATTACAAGTCTTACTAATCCCAAACTTTTGACCGGTAGTGTGTATATATATATATATATAACTAATTTAAAAATTACTAAAACGTTAACTAAAATGAAAATGTAAAAAAAAAAGAAAAATGTTAATACAAACTATAATAGGACATCAGTGATTCTAAAATAATACTGGGTTACATGACATGCAGGTAAACAAATAAAATGTTTATTGTATAAATATATATTATATAAAAGTAAACACTAAATGTATTATTTATATCTTATGTTTTATTTGGTTTTTATTTAAAAATATTTATTAAAATTTTAAATTTTTATGATTTAACTAATTGTTAGCTTTTCATTAGCTCATGAACTGCACTAACCCCAGTTTGAGAAACCCTGGCATACTGCATACTACATACTGCTGTGGACTGAACTGAGTTTTACCATTTATACTACAGTAGATATATTAAAACTTTTGACCGGTAGTGTGTATATATATATATATATATATATATATAACTAATTAAAAAATTACTAAAACGTTAACTAAAATGAAAATGTAAAAAAAAATGAAAAATGTTAATACAAACTATAATAGGACATCAGTGATTCTAAAATAATACTGGGTTACATGACATGCAGGTAAACAAATAAAATGTTTATTGTATAAATATATATTATATAAAAGTAAACACTAAATGTATTATTTATATCTTATGTTTTATTTGGTTTTTATTTAAAAATATTTATTAAAATTTTAAATTTTTATGATTTAACTAATTGTTAGCTTTTCATTAGCTCATGAACTGCACTAACCCCAGTTTGAGAAACCCTGGCATACTGCATACTACATACTGCTGTGGACTGAACTGAGTTTTACCATTTATACTACAGTAGATATATTATTGGGAGAGACTGCTGAGCGAGATTACCAACGCAACGATAACCAAAAACAGGCTGTTTAATTGTTCAGGTCAGAGAGAGGGTGTAAAATGGGCTTGAGAAACTGAATTTTGAACTTTCGAGCAGATATATCTATATGATACACATTCACATCATGTGTGTGTCCTTCTGCAGGCCCACAGAGATGAGATCCAACGCAAGTTTGACGCACTGAGGGACAGCTGCTCGGTAAGTGTGTGCTGATCTACGCTAAGATTTCCCACAATCCCCTGCACTGCTCTGGAGGGTTGAATATGATGGTTCAGACTTAATACTTTTACCTACTTCACTTTACTGTTTTCAGACTTGAACAGACAATACGATTGAACTTGACTCTCGACCTCGTTTTCATTCGCATTTTAATGCTTTTGTTAGTCTATCCAGTTGAAGCCACTAGATGCGGCGCTGCTACGTTGTTCATTCAAAAAATTGCAGAAAGAGAGAATAATCAATGTGGAGATAATGTTGTTTACGTCAAAACCGAAACCAAGCCGTTCACACAGAACGCATATTTAGCGCATTTTCTAGGGGGACATCTATCACCATTGCATTCGCGTCTCGCACAAGAGAGCCGCATGTTTAGAAAGCCATGTAAAATTAATGCAAGTTACACTTTTAAAAAACATGTCTGAAGACTTCATGGCGGTTTTCCCCCATCCTACCACATCTCAAGTTTTTAAATGAAGAACGTACTCTGTGATTGGTTTTCGGTCCTTTGTATTAAACTATACATGCATGGGTGATGCTGTTTTGTTTCTAATTGTTTAAAGGGGTCCTATTATGCTTTTTCACTTTTTCAACTTTAGTTAGTCTGTAATGTTGCTTTTTGAGCATAAAAAAGATCTGCAAAGTTACAAAGCTCAAAGTCCACTTCAAAAGTAGATATTTTATGTAATATCTATATATTTTATACTACAACGAACGTCTCATTTGGACTACAATGCATATTTTCCGGGATTTTTTATATCCCAAATATCG